ACAGTACGTATGATTCACATAAATAATGGAATGTCTACTTGCAGAACCCAAATGTGTTATATAAGGGGGATGTCTTCTTACAGTATTCGAAGTCAATGGTTCTCATAAATTGTTCTTCCGGTTCTCATAAATTAAATGTCTACTTGCAATATCTAAAATCAATGGTTCATCTGGTTCTCATAAATTACATGTCTACTTGCAGTATCTAAAGTCAATGGCTCGTCTGGTTCAAGTTAATGGAATGTCTACTTGCAGTACCTATCCAAAGTTAATAATGATATACATTTGGTTCACGTAAATCGGATGTCTACTTGCAGTATCAAAGTCAACAGTTCATCTGGTTTACATATTAAATGTCTACTTGAAGTAGCCAAAGTCAATGTCTCTGTTTCTTGTAAATGGGATATCTATACTTCCAGTATCTAAAGTCAATAATGCATCTGGTTCACGTTTCTAATTGCTGTATCTAAAGTTAATGATATATTTGGTTCACATAATTTGGAATCCCTATGTGCAGTATTCAAAGTAAATTGTACGTCTGGTTCACGTAAATGAAAAATGTCTACTTGTAACATCAAAAGCCAATGTTTCATAATCCTTATTGGTTATACATTTTGTATATAATACTCAACGGTATCACTCCAATTGTTCTTCCCTTTTGTTCTCTATTTTGCAGTGTGCTAGCTTAGATGATTTATTGGTAAACACATGTTACAACTTTTGTTTACCTTTTTATTGTTATCTTGCAAATACTGTCATGGCAACCAATTAGCCCATAAGGCCCATGTTAAATTTCTAAAAGTTTAAATTCACATAGGGAAAAGCCCTATGGTCCGATTTGTACCATTTCAGATTTATACCTTCCCACGGTTGGTTACTATGACTGTGCTAAATTTCATCCAGATCGCTTCAGCCGTTCAGGAGGAGTATTTGTAAAACAAAAGCAGGAGTGTAGTATAAGAGCTTCGCTTCGCTCCGCTCAATAATAAACTAGGTGAAACCCGTCGAAATCGACGGTTACTTTCAAGGTTTACGCTAATTCATCTCACTGTGATAAATTGAGTGAAATTGAAATTATACATATTTTGAACATTTAGAATTGTTTAGTGATTAATAAGTTTAAAAACAATAATGATATTAATTGCGTTAGTTACCAAATATGGTTGATCATTCAATGAATAACATATATCCCATACTGTACGTCATTGGAGTTGTTAGTATACTATCTGGTATCTCTTCCTTTAGAAGAACCTTTAAATAGTATTAAAATCGTATTGGTGGATCTTTTGTAGTTAAACACTTCCGTGATTTCTTCTTAGGGGCCTCCTCATTTATATGGTCGTGCAGCTTCATTGGCAACAAATAATGCAAATGACATAGTAATGTGGCATTTCCAAAAAAAAAAAAATATATATGTAAATTAGCTGTTTACGCATATTGAAGTTTACATGCATTGTTAATCAACGTATCTTATAAGGGATGATGTGATCTAGTTTAAAAGGAATATGACCTTTCTGTCATGACAGTAGCTGCTTAAATAGTATTTACTCATTGGGCCATTTTTACAGCCAAAATGTCGTGTTATTTTCAATAATAACACCAACCCACCCAACCCAACCCCCAACCAACCCTGTGGGCCCCGTAATATAGGCCACTGCAAATAATTGGTCAAGATTGGTACTATTTTAGGCAAGGTTTCTGTGTTTGGATGTTATTAGAAATGGCAAGAGCACAATACAATTTTTCTGTAGATGAATTTTATGTTGGAGAAATATAAGCCGAATTATAAATGTCACAATGCGAGTTTGAGCATTTTGTAACTATATTATATGGGTAAGTTACATAGATTTTTAGGCTGCTGCTCAGTGCACTTTAAGAATATATATTTTAGAGATAAATTAAATGGTTTTTGTAGCTGAGTAGCGCTAGTATACATGCACAACCCTTTTCGTTAGTATAATAACATTCAAAGGCTCTCTGAGTGTTCAAGTTTTTATTTGTATACATATCTATACATTATGTTTTCACTAAGCTGAATGAATACATCGAAGTAACCTCTCTGAAAAGACTGCAGTATATTGCAGTCTTCCAGCTTAATTACTTTCTAAATCATACACATATTTCTACATAAATATTGTAAAATGTTTTATCCAGTTGCTGTATAAAACACTATTAATTTAACAAAATATGCTGAACACGGCTCAAATGGGCACCGTGCCCTTCTGCACTTGTGTTATTTTGTATTGTATTACACAATCGAAGATTTTTCCAATGATTGAAAGCATGTATGACAATAATCTCATGAACCTATGATGATCTGTCTAGAATAATATGATAAAATATAGGGAAAATGTGTGAAAAAGGCTGACACCAACCCGTAAAATAGATTATAAGATAGTTGAATAAGAAATAATTGTAAGAGTATCATGGAACTTTATATTGCAACACATGACATGATACAGAAGAAAATCAATTTTTAAATCAGAAAATAACATTGCAAATACTTCTTTGGGACTATCCAGTAACTTCCGATAAATGAGTGTTGTTTTAAATAAAATTTTAAAATTAACAGCTGTTTTATTAAAAAGTATTATCCACATGACCAAAATGTAAACAAATCTGTGGAGGGAACTTTAAAGGCTTCTGGGGCAGAGCCCTAAGCGAACTTACTTTGTTTTTCTTTTGATAACTCATCTACAGACCAAGACCTTTCTTTGGACACCTCTACCGAGTTTCTACGCCCAGCCGTTCTCTCAAATTTTAGTGGAGACAAAGTTTCCAATTAAATATTTAGATTCCCCCATGTTAATCTTATGGGAGAAAATCCAACTTTGATGGAAGATCCTGCCCAAACTAATAAAGATATCAAAAAACTAAAAACACTTTGCAAAACTACAGATCAGGGAAATTTTTTTGACACTTTAATCATCAAAATCAGTCCAAAAATGAGGGAGGAGTTCTGTTCACAAAAATCTTAGCGTATTAGATATAAAGATTGTTTTAATCAATATTTCCTATATCCATTTCATCATCTGTTTTAACTTTACTTTAAATTAATTTGTTATTGTAAATATTAACTTTTTGTACCAGTTTAAACACAGCCTGACGATGGAGACATAGTTTCCGAAAGCGCTTGTAATTAAAACAGTTTATTATATATTGGCCTTTTTGAACTTTTAAATTTAGTTATACATTTCATTATTATGCTATTGATGTTTGGTCGAAAAACACTTTTTACCTTCCTTGTAGCAGCAAACCTAAGCACTCTTTAAATGTAATGTTATTTAAATTGGGAACAAATATGTTTTATCTATGGAAATATCCCCCTATGAACTTTTAAGAAAACTACAAGTCAAACCCCCCTAAACCATATACTTAAAATATTCGTCATGACGAGAAACCTTGTGCAAAAATATAAGTATAAAATGCTTATTGCAGTTACACTCAAGCTTTGTAATTGCAATGAGGGAGGACACAGTTTGATAAAATTTTCTTCCTTAAATTTACAGTAAATTTTTAAAAAAATTGCAAAAAATCACAAATTATTTATGAATTTAAAAACATAAACATAACTGTAAACAATCCTACTTTGACAGTTAGTTCTCAATGCGTATCATACATACTACTAAGGTTGCTGCTTAGTTCAAGTTAGCTATCTATCTATCTATATATTAATAGGCAAGCATGTTTCTTTAAAACCTTTTTTCTCAGCTCGAGTGCATCGTAGGGAAAATCTACGCATACCGTTAGAAAGCTATTTTCCTATAGGTGTGCAGAATCCCTTTATAAATTTAAATAGGCTCAAAGATAAGCGCAAAAAATGAGTTTAAAAATTTGAAAAAATTTACATGGATCTTATGCGTTGCCATGCTGGTGACGAAATAACAACGAAATATAAACAGAAAATCAAAACAAATGGAAGAAACTCCAATCACATGTTTTATTTACAGTGTGGGGTGAAACATTAACATAAGTGAGTACATTACATATTTTTGGTCGAGTTTCGACCACTGGACATTACTCGTTTTCATAAATGCAAAAAAATATAGTGCTGCACCCTGTTGGTAAATATTATAACTTTTTAATGATTTTGCATATCATAGAACTAACTTTTTTATTTGAAACAGCTGACTAAATTCTTTAATTCCCTTTAAATATGAATACTCATGAGGTTAACATGGGGAACTACAGAGCCACTGGGGCAGAGCCTGAAAGGATTTTTGAGATAAGAAAATGCCTATATGTTAATCCCGAATGTGAACTATCATCATGCCAAATTTCAGCCCAATCCGTCCAGTGGTTTATGCGTGATTGAACTTCAAACAAACAAACACACAAACTTTCACATTTATAATATTAGCTTAGTAAGATTAAAATCAGGTGTGATTATTTGTTTGTATAACTGTATTCTGTTTTGTTTTACTAACTTATGAAGTCAAAAGGGGTGAAGCATGTGGGTAAAAGTTTTTTTTTTTTTTATAGAGGGCTAGGCTTTAAATAACCATGGGATTGCAGCGCAGCTAGAACATCTTATTGTGCACCGGTTAACAGCTAGTTTTAGTAAAAATGAATCAGGCAAGTTAAAAATTCGCTTAGTCAACAGGTTTGCTGTGGCGGGGGTATTTATTTTTCTTTGATAGATCTTCTATCTAAATAAAGTCTACATTTATTTTCCAACTATAACTTAACTTTTACAACCTTCAATAGTTGTCTTACAAAGGTTTAACTACATGAATATAATGAGAGTCAATAATTCTTTATTATTATTATATACATCAGAAAACTTTACAACACTCTAAAAGGATTATATATGATGAATGAATTTGAAAAAAGTGAGAAACCTTATTAACAAAAATACCAAACTTACTGACTGACTTAAACTGAATTTGACGTTGGTGTTGAAAAGGCTATAAAATGTAATGTAAATAGGGTAATCATAAAAGTATAGTTTGGAAAAACATATAATCATACTTTATTCTTATTAACACAATTAACACAACAGCTGTGTAAGGGATGTTACATCACAATCCATGAGTTGACAGATGAGTGTTCAGTTGTTTTTTGCTAGCAAAAGTTTTCTCACAGACAACACACTTGTGATTCCTGGCGATTCCATGGACAGCCATGTGTTGTTTGACATGGGTTCTTAGTTTAAATGTCATTCCACAAATGTTGCATTCATGAGGTCTGTTGACTGCATGTGTATACTCATGCTGCAGTAAATTACAATCTCTTTTAAATGCTTTGCCACAAGTGTGACAGACGAACGGTTTATCATCAGAGTGTATTTTGAAATGTAATCCTAATCTTGCTCTAGTCTTGAACATTTTCCCACATATTTCACAGCCGTGATTTGTACCTGAGTGGTGCATTCTAAGATGTTGTACTAAATTCTGTTTAAAATTAAACACTCTACCACAATCTGCACATTTATATTCTTCTTCTTGAGGCAAATGTTGTTTTTCGATATGATGCACCAAGTCAAATTTAGTACCAAAGTCCCTGTTACATTCTCCACATTGGTATTCTTTTTGATCATGCACCCGAGAAGTATGTCGTTTAAGACCCCTTTTATCTGAAAATGATTTGTTACAAAGTTTACATTGAACAAGGGGATGGTATTTTAATTTATAATGCACTTGACGAATGTGGCATTTTAAACCATCTTTGCTTACAAAACCTGTTTCACAGATTGTACAAATTTCTGTTTTATCTGGCTTTTCTATTGAATGTACATTTGAAACATGAGCATTTAACCTAAAGACACTGCTAAATAATTTGTCACATGTATTACACTGGTGCCTTTTCTTATTGTCATGTGGTTTCCTTAGATGTTCAACTAAATTGTAGCCGTGATTTTTACCTGAGTGATGCATTCTAAGATGTCGTACCAACTTCTGTTTAAAATTAAACACTCTGCCACAATCTGCACATTTATATTCTTCTTCTTGAGGCAAATGTTGTTTTTCAATATGATGCACCAAGTCAAATTTAGTACCAAAGTCCCTGTTACATTCTCCACATTGGTATTCTTTTTTATCATGCACCCGAGAAGTATGTCGTTTAAGACCCCTTTTATCTGAAAATGACTTGTTACAAAGTTTACATTGAACAAGGGGATGGTATTTCAATTTATAATGCACTTGACGAATGTGGCATGATAAGCCATGTTTGCTTACAAAACCTGTTTCACAGATTGTACAAATCTCTGTTTTACCTGGCTTTTCTATTGAATGTACTTTTGAAACATGATTATTTAACCAAAAGACACTGCAAAATGATTTGTCACATGTATTACACTGGTGCCTTTTCTTATTGTCTGGTGGTTTCCTTAGATGTTCAACTAAATTGTTTTTGTCTTTTCGGGTACAGAGTGCAAATTTAAAATATTCTAGATGGAAACCTGCATTATTTGGCAGAACCTCAGAGTCAAATACCTTTTTACACTTAACACATTCACACAGAACACCATTCAACTGAGCTGTGCACTTTCCTCCTTCACTTTGCACCTGAAACACACCAAAACTGATATTCAAACTAAACCTTTGTAAACCCTACTGTATGGTTTTTGGATAAAACTTAAGATATTGAAATATTTGCACAGAGTATGCTTGGTATTCATAAATAGTTTGACCATAGAATATTATAATGCGATTCTACAACAGTTTGAGCCTGAGCTTAGCTATCATTGATGATAGTGCCTTGAAGTGATTCTTTATTTATTTATTGCTTTTAACTTTGAACCAAACACCATGGCAAGCCAGGTATTTTTTTTATCATCAAATTGTTTACAGAATACTTCTACCTTTGTATCGTGTATTATATTTTCGAAGTTCATGCTTAGAACCTAAATATATACCTAAAAAAATAAATTGATTGAAATAAGTACAGTAAATACAGTGCCGTAGACAGGTTTGGAGCGCCCTGGAGCAGAAATTTCATTTCCACACTCTCTCCCAAACAATAAACATCACACTACATAAAATATACTGTATCTAATATATTTAATTCCGTAAGCGAATCGGTCCCCACAAGATATCTCGAGCTAGGAAAGAGGTATCATGGCTGTTGGGGATTCATTTTAAAGCTTAAGGTCCAAGGACGGTGGGAAAATATCAGTTACCCCTCTCGGCCCCACAGGCCATCAAAGATCCAGTCATTTTCTAATGGATGGCTTCAGTGTTTCTATACCAGCTAATGAAAAAAATTTGCTTATTTGTTTGTTTATTGATTTTGATTTTAGTGTTCTGTTTTTAGGTTAGAACTAGAGGACCCATGCTGCTCTGCAGCTTTAAAATAAATATAATATCCGAGAAATAATCAAATTTATGAGAAAAAAACACATATTGAAAAAATATTACCAATACTGGAGCTATTAATTTTTAATCATATAAAAACCTTATGAAAAATAATTTTTTATGTTGGTTTTTCACCTTGCATTTGCTTGTAACTCGTACGATTTGAATAAATAATAGCTTAGATGAAAGCCAGTATTTCAATGAAGGTTCTTAGACTAAAATATATAGGGTTATAAAATTATAACAGGTGAAGGTACATCTTAAATTGAAGTAAGAATTATAAAATAAATCAAATTATTTTGTGTTTTGGTCGAGTAATACAGTAGGTAAATATTTGCCAATGCTTTATGAGAAAACTTTGCCTGCATACTTTCAATTTGAGACCTCAATCATAAAAATCAGTCGGGTAGAAGAGCCAAACAAACTCGGGAAAAAACCAAATTAAACTTACATAAAAAATACATGGGGAGCAAATTTTGTTAACGTGTATGCCGAGTGGGATTGGGTAGGCTATGTTTGTAGTAAAATATAACACGATAAACACAAACAAATGTTAATAATAATACTATAGTAACTCATGTATTTTTGGTAACCAGGTCTATTTACTTCGGCAAAATTAGCGGACATTTTATAGCTATAAAAATGCACAGCTATTTGAAATCCATATAAATGCCAAAGTACTCATGAACTTTTGAGAAAACTATAACTCAACATCCCATAATCAATATACTTAAAATGTTTCGTCATGATGAGAAACCTTGCGCAAAATTATCCGTTTTTTTCATAAATTGCCCTTTAAGGTCGTAACTTTTTTTGTAAAGGGAACTTTCCGTATACCTAATGTTAAAAATACCTCAGCTGTACTTATTTGTATGGTGTTATTTCAATTTATTACCTTATTAAAATCATCATCATCATTATTCTGTTTAGTTTATTTCAGCTTAACTTAACCAATTAATAGTTTTATTAATAATTATGAAGTCAAACAGGGTGAAGCCCGTGGGTAACATCTAGTGAAGATAATGAAATTTCTGTAAAACAATCTTTCTCCAGGGTTTGGTGAAGAGTTTCGTCATACTGCAGCAAAAACGGCTGATTTCAATACTGCAATACTGTACTGCGTAGGGGATTTCACCAGAGCGCTGAGTATCGTACTTGGTTCAATCATTGGTTATTAAATTGTGTTTTAATTGTGTTTCTTTATTCAAGGAGCTTAACTTGTGGGATCATGCTGGTTCGGGAACTCGTTCGTATAGATGTATATTTACACGTTTATACAAAATTTCATCAAAATCGGATAATTTTGCTCGAGTTATCGTGCTAACGGACATGTATATATATACAGGGTGAATTTTAAATGAGTTCCCCCCCTACTTTTTTCTACATTTCTTAAGATATCATCTCCGGACCACGTCAGATCATTGTTTGGTAGTAAGTACTTCATTTTGACTGGGTATACATTTTTGGCCGCCATCTTGGATCCGCCATATTGGATACAAAGTTTTTTTTCAAATGTAAAGGTAGGGTTGTGACCCATTATTTCAAACTAGAATTTTACGCTGATTACAATGCCGCAATTAGTTTTTAAAAATCTTGATTCGTTCTAAAGTTATGAGGTCTTTTTATAACTTTATTTTTAGCGCATTTTAACATTGTGCATTTACAAACTAAGACCATAATCTCAAAATAGTGCTAGATAAAGATAAGTATACACCACCATTCATTGTCGGTATATTTTCACTTGGTTATGACGGATGTAGTTTTTTCAGCCGCCATCTTGGAGCCGCCATTTTGAAATGTGATCAATTAATTTAAACATGAAGGTGGTGTTGTGACCCATCATTTTGAACTACTTTTTTATACTGGACTCAATGCTGCAATCTGTTTTTGGTTATCAAGCTTTCTTGATGAAATATTAGAATACTCTTATTTAAAATTTCAATATTTCAAAATCCAAAGATGCAAATGAAAAACGGATTGCGGCATTGGGTTCAGCATAAAAAAGTAACTCAAAATGATGGGTCACAACACCACCTTCATATTTAAATTAATTGATCACATTTCAAAATGGCGGATCCAAGATGGCGGCTGAAAAAACTACATCCGTCATAACCAAGTGAAAATATACCGACAATGAATGGTGGTGTATACTTATCTTTATCTAGCACTATTTTGAGATTATGGTCTTAGTTTGTAAATGCACAATGTTAAAATGCGCTAAAAATAAAGTTATAAAAAGACCTCATAACTTTAGAACGAATCAAGATTTTTAAAAACTAATTGCGGCATTGTAATCAGCGTAAAATTCTAGTTTGAAATAATGGGTCACAACCCTACCTTTACATTTGAAAAAAAAACTTTGTATCCAATATGGCGGATCCAAGATGGCGGCCAAAAATGTATACCCAGTCAAAATGAAGTACTTACTACTAAACAATGATCTGACGTGGTCCGGAGATGATATCTTAAGAAATGTAGAAAAAAGTAGGGGGGGAACTCATTTAAAATTCACCCTGTATAAGATAATGAAATTTTTGTAAAACAATCATTCTCCAGGGTTAGGTGTAGAGTTTTGTCATACTGCAGCAAAAACGGTAAATATGACTTGATAATGGACTTAGTCTCCGAAACATGTCGTCATTAAAAATGAAATAATTATTTAAAAAGGGCACTTTGTTAACTGTTTTTAATTTTTAATATATATATATATAAATATTATGAAAATTACAGTGATTTTTGTTTTTTCCCCCTATAACAACACTTGGCCTGAGCCCTGGATTGGTTTTCACATTACTTCAGGCTAGACCTAGGGGTTGCGGCATTATCATGAACATTATAGTGATTGGGGCTACTATTTTGATATATAAATACATAACTGAAAACTAAGTAAGTTACCCTTTTAAAACTGATTTAATTAGACAACGACTAGTTTCAAGAGTAACCATAGTCATGTTGTTTCAATCTTCAATATATGTTTCTACTAGCAGAGTACCCGTCTTTCGTACGGGGTTGGCGTAAAAGTATAAAATTAGTATTGCAGTTACACTCGTGCTTTGCGTTTGCAATGGGAGAGGACACGGTGCAATGGGAAAATTTGGTTCTTTTAATTTATGGTATACTATAGTATAGCACATTTACCATAGCTACATATAACGTTCTACAACTGCACCTAAACAATAGAAAAAGTAAAGTTCTCATTCTGTATCACAGCTTTTTGTTGCTGCTTGGTTCAAATTATTAGCTGTTGTCATAAATTCAACAAAATTAATAGTGCTGCACCCTGTTGGTAAACTTTATATTTTTATAATGCTATTGAATTTCATAGAACCAACTTGTGTAGTTGAAACAGCAGACTAAAAGTTTTAATTCCTTTTAAATATGAATACTCATAAGGTTAACATGGGAAACTTCAGTGCCACTGGGGCAGAGCCCGAAAGGATTTTTGAGATAAGAATATTGGATGGTGTTTTTGGCCTCTAGGGACTTCAAAACAAATAAGTAAATCAGTTCCGGGTCCAGGTCTTATCATGTATTATGGTATACAGTAGACTCTCGCTCATCCGTACTAATGTGGCGGACGTCCGGTCGGGAGTATATCGCCGTTTTTTTTCAATTTTGTTTCAGGTCCACAGTATTCATAGCCTTGTATTTTCCTTGTTTCCCAGTATGTGATCCCAGTATTCCTTGTTTTTTTCAATTTTGTTCCAGGTTCCAGGTATTTATAGCCGGATAAATGCAGTTCCACCAAAAATAATATTTTCCGCCGTGTTATTTGAGTTTTTGATTATCCGAGGTAGTCTTGGTCCTGTTTAGCTCAGAAAATCGGACTTCTACTGTACTGTGCCACTAAAAAAATCACGATTGCCGATCAGGCCCAGCGGGAGTCCGGACAAGGCCGATGCAGATGAGCAAGAGTCTACTGTGGCTTATTCCCTATATGGGAAATTTGCTAAAAAAAACTTGACAGTCATGTTTGTTTGGATTAAAATGTCAAAGCAAATTTAAAAATTGTGAATTTTCTCATTGTTTCTACAGAGACCAAACAAAAAGCCCAGTTAATTCAGGAGTGTGTTCATAAATTGTAATTTTTTTATTAAAAAAATAAGGTAGTTGTGCAGTCAAAAAATGTGATAGTGTCTAAAATTACATTTTCTACCTTCTTTTATGATTATGGCATAATTTTTATGGCC